AAGGAAACAACACAAAAACCTCTGAAGAAGACACTTCTTCTTCTTCTGGAAATAAGAACAAAAATGGAGTGGCGTGAAATTTGAGCGGTTTTCGAAGTTCTGTCTGGTCATCTTTCAACAATGGACTCATCATGAGCAGAGGATCAGGCAGAAGACCATGGAGACCGTTTTTCACACAAGGCGGCTGACGGTGCTGTATGAGAAATGTGCGTTTGTTTTGGTTGTATTTACCCAGAATGCCCTGCGCCGTAGTCCACTTCCTGCTTTTGGAGCGGTCTCCGGTCCGCTTGCATTCACACTGCATTCGAACCGCGCCAGAGTTCACTTGAACCGGACCGAGCCCTAGGTTTTTAGGCGGACTGGGGTTGGATTAAAGCAGACTGAACAGGGCTGGTGTGGCTGCTCGCTAGAGACGAGTCTTTTCAGGAAAATAGTCTCTTTTTGTTTTTAAAGCAGGTAAACATGATTGGAATGAGGAGTGTTTGCTCTCTTTGTGTTCAGAGTTTCTCCTTTCAGATTCAGTTCTTCACAGATAATCGGTCGGTCCAGTTCAACCTGCAGGACTTCATGAATGACAACTGAGTTGAAAGGTTGTGGCTCTCAGCTGTCACAGATGAGCACGTCAGATTGCATCATGTTTGTTTGTTTACCTCCAGAAACGGCCAGAGTGACTGAAAGGTCAGCCTTCCAGGTTTCAGACGGGGTGCTGTGTTAGCACCGACTGCAGACCCACACGTTCACATCCACATGGAAAACTACGGGATTGATCTCCGTGTAAAACGGTTCAGCATCAACTTTTCCTGTTTGAAACGTAAACAAACAGCAGCGAAACAAAGCAACATTCTTTAAAACCAGCGTTTGGCTGGGGGTCCAAACTTGTGCCCATCAGAACTCGGCAGCAGCTGTTTCTGTGAACCGCTCGGTGTTTGTGACGTAAAGTGCAGGAAGTGATTAAAGCGTTTGTTCAGCTCGGGGTTCCTCTTCTGACTCGGACCGTTACTGAAACGTTTTCTTACACGTTGTCAGGTCTTGTGCCTCGTTGACTTCTTCTGTTACTAAAGCAGCTCGAAGGATTCAAAGCGTCCACAGGGCCTCTCAGGCGTGTCACGCTGCACGCTAAGGAACATGAATGTGCTGTCATCACGTCGCTGGTATCTCACCTGAGGTCATGGAAAAGGTTTCGTGTTGCCGTGGACGATTCATGACTCAGGTGGTTGGAGAGGGAAGGAAAGCATCGTTGGAGCTTCAGCCAGCTCAAAGGACTGCTCGCATCACGCTGCAGACAACGCAAAGATGCTGAAAATACCCATGATTCATTGCAGGCGGCGCTCATCTGGTAGAATCAGCCCTGATCCGTTTCCTGCCTCATCAAATGGAGAACGTGCCGGAGCTGCTGTTTTTAACTCGGCGCGTTGTCACAAGACTCGGCTGATGTGTCGGAGGAACTTCAGCTGCTTTGGTTAAAAGCCGAGCTTAATTTGAGCCAGCAGGAACTCTTATTTTGATAGGGTGCGTTCCAGTAAC